AAAAAAAAAAAAAATGTAAGCGCAGGCAAAACCGAGAATAATGCGTCGTCGTTACACTTTGACGTCGTGCCCCTGGCAGCCGACCACCACTTCCTCCACGACCCAAACAAAAAAAACTCCCAGCGCAGCCACTTCAGCAACTCCCAGTCACCTGTTTACCGAGCCATCATGCGCGAGTGGAAGATCCTCCAGTCGAGCCTTCCTGAATCCATCCACGTGCACACCTATGAGACTCGGATCGACCTCCTTCGCGCGGTCATTATCGGACCCCAAGGGACACCTTACCACGACGGGCTCTTCTTCTTCGACATCAGCCTCCCGGCCCACTACCCGGTGGGCCCGCCCTCCGTCTACTACCGGTCCCATGGCTACCGCCTAAATCCGAACCTCTACGCCGACGGAACAGTCTGCCTCAGCCTCATCAACACATGGCTCGGAAATGCGGCCGAGAGGTGGACCCACGGGTCGACCCTGCTCCAGCTGCTCGTGTCCATACAGGGCCTCGTGCTGAATGAGAGGCCCTTTTTCAACGAGCCCTTGTTCGAGCCACGTAAGAACAGCCGATCCTCCTGCTGGGTGAAGATCTCCAACAGTTACAACGAGACGACTTTTGTCCTGTCCTGCAAGACGATGGCCCAAGTAGCCAGGAACCCGCCTCAGAAATTCGAGGAGTTTGTCGATCGGCACTTTCGGGCCAGGGCAGAGACGATACTGGCAGCAATCGGGGACTACGTGGAGGGACGGGCGATGGTGGGCTATTTGGAGGGGGACGAGGGAAGGAATTTTAGGGTTTCTAGGAAGTTCAAGAATGATTTGGGGAGGGTTAGAGGTGAGCTGGAGGTTGCATTTTCGCGGTACCTTCCATCTGGTTGGGTGCATTGCAACCGGGCCGTGGATGTTGAGAAGCCCAAAGAAAATGCGAAGAAGAAAGGTAAAAATGGGCTATGGCAAAAGCTTGTTGGGTTTGTGGAGAAGATTTGGGATTGAGACTGAAGGTTTGAGTGTGGAAAATTTGCTGCTGGGGACCGAGTTAATGATTTTTCAAATCACACCAAGTAAAGGTTTTATTATGTTAGTCTTTTCAAACATACTCATATTTTCCAGTGATTAATGCATACGTTGAGGTTATTGCAGAATGTCACTGTTTCACCTTTCATTTCAACTAGAAAACACACACACACACACACACACACAAAAACACACTGAAGATGGCATTTGACTGTTATCAGATTGGGACATGAAAAATATAATAATTAAGCTAAAGGAACAAGAGAGAAAGGACACTGAAAATACTATACTTGGAGATAATCATTAAAATTTCGCGCACAAAACAAGCACACACATACTACCATTCAAACTTCTTTACTTCGAAACATATTCCATCGGCCATCACCAAGTAAGTTATCGAAAAACGTGTTTTCACAACATACCTTCCCGCCAACGGCAATTCAGTAACCCAATCAATTGATGAAGAATCCAGGAGGGCCCACTCAGGGAGTATATGCAAACTCTAAAAGACAAAAACAAAAAAAAAAAAAAGTGATTTTCAGCTTAAAGTGTAAAATTACCACACAGAATGTTGAAATTTTCATTTGGCTTTGTTTACGAGTTTGTAAGCACTGCCTTTCATTGAGACATTGAGCTCTGTATATACCCCTCAGATTTTAGTTTTAGACGCCACAAGTGAGTCCCGGAAAATGCACAATGTTGTCATCATCATCATCATCATCAACATGCCAACGTTTTTTTATGGAACTCAGTGTACCTAAAAGCATACAAACTACTGTTCCTTTCTTGCAGCAGCACGCAATTGAATCATGCATTGTTTGTGCATCTCCTTCAGCTGCTCCACCAATTCTTGGAATGAAGGACGGGATTGTGGTTCACTATGTTCAATAACGTAGTATTATAATGGGTTTATCAGAAATGGTATCCTTGAAAAAAAGAGAAGAATTCTTTAAAGAAACTGGAAACTGCAGAAATTTGCAAATGGGGAGCTAGTGGCACAAGCATAAAACATTGAAATTTGAAAATAAATCAAATTAATATCAAACGAGAATGTACTACTTCAAAGTAGGATAAAACCTAAAGGTCAATGCAACTAATGCCAAGATTCGAAACAAAGTGTGATGAAAACTAGTCTGAAAGAAGGCATCGGTTTAAACATACCGCCAGCAGCTTTCTATCATAGAAGCCCAACAAGGATCAACATCCTCTGGGATATCTAACCGTTGATTCATGAAGCCCACGGCGGCAATCACCTGTAACGATACCCAAAGAAACTGGTCAAACAAGCCCTAACTACGTCTATGCATGTTCCACTTATTATTTTCATAAAACATGACAAACTTTCAAAACGACAAACATATTTTCCAAAATAATTTACATACCTGCAGCGAATTGAGTCTATCCCATGGGATCCGGTGTGTAGCAAGTTCCCATAGTATCACTCCGAAGCTATATACATCAGACCTGATCATATCAGACAAAAAAGACTCAGAATCGAACTATAGAACTGATCTCTTGGTCAATGTAATTTAAAGCAGACTTAAATTGCGAATATTCACAAAGCATTACTTCTCATCTGCAGGTTCATTGCGCAGAATTTCAGGGGCCATCCACTGAGGCTGCATTACAGGAGGAAAAAAAAAATAGTAAAAGTGAGTCTGGTTTCATTATTCCATGAACTGAGGCCTCACAAAAAAGCATAAAAATAAACTCAAGGAAGCCTCAGGTGCCATTTATATACCGTTCCTTTGCCTGACATGGTTGTCAAATACGTTTCATGTTTAAGACGGGAAAGGCCAAAATCACCAACCTATTGAAGACCACAAATTAGATTTCAAGTCATTGAAAGTATCTACAGAAATCATGGGAAACAAGGAAACTTTGGATCTGTATAAAGAATTGATGGCTGCATGCAGACCTTGACCGACCAATTTTTGTCAACAAGAAGATTTGAAGACTTCAAATCACGGTGAACTATAGGCGGATTGAAATGATGAAGGTAGTTCATACCTCTTGCCTGCATACATGAAAACAAAATTCACAATGAAAATGAATAACCAACTATACATGATTTATTCTCTCTCCAGAAAATAATCAAGTGCTAAAAGCAACAAGCAGCAAAAAGACACATTGCAACACTTTGGATGCCACCACTTGAGATGATATCTGACTTTAAGAACTTTAACAACTTTAACAACTTACAACATCTAAAGCCATGCTAATACGCCGTTTCATTTCAAATTTTGAGGTACTCTTTTGTAGTAACCCCAAAAGACTTCCACTGCAACAAATGAAGGAACAGTAATGAAATATCAAACACCCTGGTAAATTGGTAAGTGCAAGTATGCTGAGTAATATAGAAACCTCACGTGTAAATTGGTAAGTGCAAGTATGCTGAGTAATATAGAAACCTCACAGTAACACATATGGTAATATAAGAGTGCCCTTAGGGGAAAAATCAATATTTACACACAAAAAAAAGGGTAATAAGACGGTCTAAGGCAAGGGTCGAGGGTAAAATACCGAGGAAGGAACTCTGTAACAATGCAAAGACGTTCAGGAGAAGTAACTGCACCCATGAAGAGGAGAATATTTGGATGTCGAAGCCTTTTCATAAGTGAAACCTTCAAAAACAACATGAAATTTCTCAAGCATATGCAAGTAAATGCCAAGTACGAAACATCCAAATGTTAGGTTATTTTTCATGTTTTAGTTTTCTTAGTTTTTTCTAGTGAGAGATGAATGTTAATAAGGGGGAGGGGGAGAGTGGAGAGAGAGAGAGAGAGTCATCTACAGCATTAGTACAATGGTGAGAGAGGAAGCCCTTTGCCTAAAAAGAACATTCCCAACATGAAACCAGTTCATTATCAAACATCACGAGTCGTATAATTAATGGCCACAACAATCAGAGGACACTGTTTTTCTTTCTAATTAAAAAGAGTACATTAAACAAGCAGTATCAGGAAAAGCTCTGTTAGACGTTGCAATGATACTTAAAAAAGGTGAATAATGAATAGAAGAAATACTGCTGCTTTTAGAACACTTACCTCCTCCCGAAAGGAAAATATTAGCTCATCCGTATATTCTAGTTTTGAGAAAGCCTTCACAGCGACATCCTGTAGAATATAGTTCATTTCATGAGAAGATCAAGGAGACATAACATCCTCGATTTTTAGTAGATAAAGGACAAAATTTTAAAGACTGCTAGCAAGAGCACAAGTCAATATCTTGTTTCAATACATATACAATCACTGTGCAAGTGATTGCTTGGAAAACACCAGGCAAATGCATTAGGCATAAATCCATATGGGCAACTTTGTATATTTTAATGGATGAATATTAAACATAACAGAAACCAGTTTCATTCGATTACTATCTTCCTTCTGGCGGGGGGTGGGCTGTTTGAGATTGTTGAAGTAGAGAAATTTTAAGGAGAGGCTGAGAACATACCGATCCATACCACAGAGCGTGATACACAGTTCCACAACAACCTACAAAAATATACCAAAAACTGATGGAAGCTATAATAAAGAGAAGACGTGCATTAGCAAGAAAATGCAACTCTAAACATATAAACTATATTACAAATCATGCAGACCCGCTGATACTAAGACAGACTCTTGGTGAACATTAGAATTAAGTAAATAATATCTGGCATCAAGTAGTTTATATTATGTTCACCACATGCAATTACAGGCAAAAGTTGTCTGGAACACCTACAACCTACAACTAGATATTACAGTACTTTCGGGTCTTTACACAGTTTTAAGTTGCATGAGCAATAAAACTTAAAATGTGAAAAGACGTAAAAGATCCAAAAGAACTACTTATAAGATCGAATAAACTTACCTTGCCCAATTTGTTCTCCAATAGTCAAATCCTCCCACGAGATTTCATAGTCCAAGCAGTCGCTATCTCCATCAACTCTATTTACAGCACCACTGCTTGCACTCCCACAACTACTCACACTACTCATGCTATTAACATTGGCCGAGGAGGACCAAGACCCTGAAGCTTCAGGGTTAGCTGTATAATTAGCTTCAGAAACCTGATTTTCTGATACTTGATCCTGATGTAACCACGGCCAGCCAAATTTGGAAGAATTCTGCTCATTTCCCTTCCAGGACCATGACAGGCCTTTATTAGCAATCCAAGCCTCTGCCTTCGAGCTTAGGATCCTCGAAATTCCAGGTTTGCTCTCACTCTCATCCTCAGAATCTCGAGATGGTCTACCTGGGGGAAGGCTAGCACAGGAGAACACTCCAAATGGCGTGGGTTGCACTTCTCCTTTAGGGGTATTAGCCCCGCTTGAAGCTCCATCGTCTGATAAACCACGGTCTGAATGTTGACAACAATCACCACCACCTTCATGATCTAAGTTGTTCTCTGTATGCCTCATTTTCAATTTAACCTTGCTACTGACTTTAGAGGCCTATTTGAAATTTGGATAAAGTTAGCATATAATGCATAAATGAAAGTAGTGAACATTGGGAATAATAGTCCCTGAGATTCAGCCTAATTACCAAAGGACTATTTTTCCATTAAACTCAAGATACCCCATACATCTTTTTCTCTAATACAAATTGCCTTCTCATTTTTTTTTAGTGTATTTAGGCTGAACCTCAGGGTGGCTTTTGCAGTAGCCCAATGACAAAACTAGAATACCCACGAAGTTCGTGATTTTGGAGGTGATTGCTGCCTGTAGAGGCTGCTGATTATCAAATCCAAATTTGGCTGCAACAGTGTTTCTAGGCTTGCTAGAAGCTGGGTCTTCCGCCAAGCCCCTCAGTTCTGATATTACTGCATTTGTTTCTTCAAAAGGTTTAGAGTCACTTGTTACGCATATAATTCCGACTAAAGTGCCATCATCATCGTAGAAAGGGGTATTAGTTGAAATGACCAAAAAAATATCCCCTCTTTTGTTTTTTACAGGAAATTGCCCAGTCCAACTCTCACCCGAGGCCACACGTTGCACAATATCAGTAGCCATAGAAAAGTCTCGAGGATCAGCCAGTAGCTCAATTCCATTCTGTCCTAGAACCTCTGAGACCGAGTATCCGTAGAGATTCTCTGCGCTTCTATTCCTGCACAGACATTAGCATGATCAAGAAATTTCAATTTTACAATGTAAAATCCAGAGTTAATGAATCACAGCAAAAGCCAATCAATTGTACTAGTATCAAAGAGATCCTTCATTTTGAAGGACTTCCCTATCCAAGACTTAACATTCTAATGCTATCCGACCATAAAATGAGGCAAGTTGAAATTAGCCTTGCGCATGTCAACGTCATATCTATCAACTGAATTTATTAGATTTGAAGTTGACAGTTCAAAAGGTATCACCAAAGACTTTGCAAAATTTTGAGTCACAGAAGAATCACACTAAGCATACACAAAAGTCAAGGCCACCAATAACAAAATTGTGGAAAAACAAAAGAGAGGGAAAGGGTAAAACTAAAGACTTCCCAATTTTTCGCAAGTTTGGGAGATGAGCATTTTCCATTTTTTTTTTCTTGTTCGATTTTATCAACTAAACTGCAACAAGTTCTTCTTTGCTATGTAGAGCACCTCAACCATGGAACTTCTTGTCGTGATTCAGTCAAATTTAACTTCCCTCTTTCTTGTATGTGCATCTTCAATTCAATTTCATTTTGTTTTAAGAGTAAACTATAACTTTTTTCAACATTTGATTCAACAGCAGGCATTGAACATGACAAGATAACCAAAAAATGACCCCAAAAAAAAAAAAAAAAAAAAAAAAAAAAAAAAAAAAAAAAACTACACAAATAAGAGGCATGAGATGAACGTGACAGAATCCATGTGGAAAGCTCCATAACCGAAAAGGAAATTATAAATTCGAATGGAAAAACCACTATCATGCAAATAACAAATACTTTCCTTTACCAGAACAAATTGAACAAGACTTGGCAAACATCCAAACTGGAAATTTGAGTTCCTTCGACCAAAAAAGAAAAAAACTAACCAGTAAATTATCCGGCAGTTCAGATCAATTATATGCACCGATTGCCCCATGGACTGCAATATGTTCAAGTACTGATTATCACTGAACGTCATCGCCGAAGCCCCGACGCATGTTCCACCTCCGGCCGAAGACTCCGCCCTATCGCGGCTCTCCCTCTGCAACGGCGAAGCGTGCCGAGAGGCCGAGCTCTTCCTCAACGCCGACACAAAGCTTCCATCTCCGCCGCCCGTTCTCCACCGCTTCGGGGAGGTGGAGTGGGACCTCTGCTTGCCGCGATTATCAGCCGCTACTGAAGAGGACATGAAGTTGGAGATCTCCTTCTTCAGGTGAGCATGACCTAACTCCAACTCCTCAATCTTCTTAAGGAGCTCCTCGGCCGGAGGCGCCGCCGCCTCCGACGCAGACGGCGGAGCTGATTCCGGTTCTCTGTTCTTCTCCATACTCAACCAAAAATGGAATTCCAGACAGAAAAAAAATCGAAAAAATTCGCCCCCCAAAAAAAAAATAACAGAAAAATCAAACTCTCATCTTCTCCTTCATCGCTCTCTGCATCTGTATGTGGGGAATTTTGAACGACGGCCGGTTGAAGATGGCTGCTGAAAATGGTGTTAAACCCTCTCGACAAGGAATTTTGTTATCTTAATCCGATGCTCTGAGCTATGCGAATGTGCTCCAACTTTCTCCCTCTAAAAGAAAGGCATTTTCTTTAGAGAGCTCATCGCCAATTTGCTTGTTTTGCAGAATTGACCACCAAATTGAACAACCGTCTCGCTGTTGGAGCGTGCGTTAAACGAGTCGTGATGGCCAATTGATATCGTAATGAGAGGATAGATACGTGACATCACGCGCGACTGTGGAGTTATCTTGTTTTTTCTTATAAGTACAAAAACAAGAAACAAGTAGCAACTAACTCCACCACCAATTCAATTGTGCTCCCTTTCACCCATATATATAGGATTTGATAAAAAAGGATAGAGGTATGTAAATGTAACAAAATTTTTATTCGTGTTATATTCTTTTTTTAAAATAATATTTAAATTGTACAATTGATAGTAGTGTTGCTAAATTAAACGAGTGTGACTCGGCTCATGGTTCGAGTTCAAGTCTTTAACGAGCGGAGCTCAAGCTCATTTAAAGCTCGTCTGACTAACAAGTCGAGCTAGGCTCGACATCGAAAATTGAATTTTTATACAATTTTTTATAGTTCGGATCGTTAAAATTCGGGATCGGCTCGTTAAGGTTCGAGCTCGAGGCCTTAACGAGCCGAGCTCGAACTTGATTTCAGGATCGTTTACAACTCTAATTGATAGTCATGCTAGTTGCATAATAATGCATAATGAATGATAAATATTTTTACATCGAGTATCATCTATGAGATCCACAATTGTCAAATTTACATTTACATGTACACACATTAATAAGTCAGGCTCGGGTCGGCTTACTTTGATAAATGAATCGAATTTTTACGAGCTCTTTTAATAGCTCATTTAGTTAATAAGTCAAGCTTCATTCGGCTGGTTTAAGCTCGTTAGACATGATAAATAAATTTTTTTATAAAATTTTTTAATCTATTAGGTTCGCTTGGCTCGTTTAGGTACTAGTTGGACTTGATAATTTTGATAAATGAGTCAAACTCAAGCTCGTTTATTAGTTTGAAAAGTTAAATAAGTTGACTCGATAAAGTATCGAGTCTAAGCTCGATTATTAGAAGCTAGCTCGATTAGTTAACGGTTCGGCTCGATAAAGACTCGGGTATAAACTCGATTATTATTAGAAGCTTTAGCTCGAACTTGGCTCGACTTATTTACATTCTATTTCGAGCTCAAAGCTCGAGCTTGACTTATTTACATTTCGACTTATTTACTACGTATACCTTATTTTATTTTGAATTATGTATAAAATAGCATTTTTTTTTCTACAAATGGTAAGTCTTGTATTAGACCGATCTAACTATGAGGCCACAATATACATATTTTCAGTGAAATTTGTCATACTTTAAGAAACAATATAAATTAAAGTATAATATTTGTACAATATCATTTTTTATTCAAAAATTATGACGAATAATTTGTCGAGTAGTTAAAGTAGTCCCCCACAAGAATTTTTATCGTCTAAAATAGTTCTCACTGTTTCCTTCTACTATTTATTTGCTGCTCAACACCAACGAGTAACACTCTCTTACTCACGGTGGGCACATGTTAATGTGCCCACATAAGCATGTGTTCCCCGCTTATGTGGCATGCACACATTGGTGATGTATTTTTTTGAACATATTCATGTGCCCACATAAGCATGTGTTCCCCGCTTATGTGGCATGCACACATTGGTGATGTATTTTTTTGAACATATTAACATCACCAATGCGTGCATGTCACATAAGCAGTGGGCATATTAGCATGTGTCCACCGTGGGTAGGGGAGCATTCTTTCAACACCAACATCTAAATCTAAAAGTGGAAGTTTTTCACCACACTATAAAAATGTTTCAAGTTTTTCACCACCTATTGATAAGTTAACTATTTCAGCCGACAAAGTAAAAAAAAAAACATTATGCGAAGAATTAGAGAAAATAGTGTGATGTATATGTTAGTTATGCGGTTCATTTGCATAACTCTTCACACTTTTTGAACTGAAAAAACTGAAATGCGAAGACATTGTGCAATGAATATGCGAGAGTTATGCAGTTGACAAGCAATCGTTATATTGTCCAATCGGATAACTTTCGCACTTTTTTAGGTAAAAAAATTAAATTGTCAGCGGACAAGTGCAAAAGTTAATACATTTGTTCATTTTTTTTTCCAAACTAAATAATAGAAAAGAAATAATTTTGTTTGGTCAAAGTAACGGTATTGTGTCCCAATCTTGCATGAACTTTAACTTCTCTTTTTAACGATGAAAAAAAAAAAAATTGAGTCCTATTGAAAGTGTTTGGTACATAAATATAATTATTATGGGTAGGAATTTTTCACAAGTTTTGATAACATCATTCCACTAAGAGCATGATAATAACGTGAATAGTTAGGAGATTTTACTTTCCTGTATTACTGCATTTAGTATTAGCAAAAAGCCAAAAATGTAGGGATAACTTCTGGGCTAAGTTTGGTTTAATTAGGTTTGATTCATACATTAATGTAGCTTCATCTATCACGAATATTCTTAGGTTGGGTATTTTACTTTAGGAGGGTGTATTCAATTGAGATTTTTAAGAACTTATTAAAATTTTTTAAATTTGATGACTTTTGTGGACTTTGTAGAATTTTCATGACTTTGGTGGACTTTTTGAGACTTTCAGAGAATTTTCATCAGTGACTTTTTAAGACTTTCATAATGAACTTTTTAAAACTTATTGAGACTTTTATATACTTACAGTTATAATATTATGTTTGAATAAAATATTAATAAACGTAACATAATAACTAATATAAACAAGAATAAATGAAAAAACAAAAAGATGATGTATATATTAATCCTCTAAAAATTTATGAATAAACTCATTTTTATGCGAAATGAGTTATTCACGAACAAATTGTTTAGGATTTTAGATTTATTAAACGAGTAAATCGATCTGAGCTTCAACGAGTGGAATCGAGCAAGGCCTTATATTTGTTTGTTAAAAGAGTACAACGTCAAATATGTGTTAGACATTTCTACTATAACGACACTTATAATAAACTCAAATTAAGATATATTTATTTAATTATTTATTGATTTTATTTTTTATATTTTTTGCATAATGTTGTTATATTATAAAATATTATTAGGTTATATTTTTACAAGATACAAACATGCCGAAAAACACTAATTGTATCTTATAAAATTATCAGTAATATTCAAAACATTTCAATATTAACAAATAAATTATTTGAAAATAAAATATTTTTTTTTAATATTTTGAAATAAACATTTACAAATAAAAAGAAAGAACAAATAAATTATTTGCAAGTGCAACTATGGAAGCATTAACCTTTGAAAAGTCAAATTCACAAGATAGCAAAATGAGAGAATAAGGTATACACACATAAAAATAAGCATGATAAAGAATGTATAAAATAAAAAAAGATCACAATAATATGTAATGAAAATAAAACTTACACTAGGTATCAAAATAAATAAGTAAAATAATAGAGCATGAAAATGATATGGGATACAAAGTCGTGTTAGAAAGCAAGAAAAAAGAGAGAGCGTGAAAAGAGTCACATAAGTCCAGCAAAATCTCACCAATATTGATGAGATTTCTGTTGAGACTTTTCCTTTGTAATTTTGTTACAAAAGTCTTCAAAAGTCTCAAAATTTAAAAAGTCTCACAAAGTCTTTCTGTTTTGAATATCAGGTGACTTTTAAAGACTCTCAGAATGTTTTAATTGAATACCCTGAGACTTTTAGAGACTTATTAAAAATCATTAAAAGTCTCAATTGAATACATGTAAACTTTTTAGAAGTCTTTAAAAGTTTTAATTGAATACACCAGAATTCTACAAGTCTTAAAAAGTCTCTAAAAGTTGCAATGAAATACAACCCCCTTAGTTTTATGCGGAGCATTTGATTCTATTTGGTAACGGGTAATTGAGTACCAATCCTTAGGCTTTTTTACCCGAACAATATATATAGAGAAAATTGCAATTTTAGTCCAATAACTTAGGTTGTTTCCCATTTTAGTCCACTAACTTAGGCCGATCCAAATTTAGTCCAAAAACTCTCAAAAGTTAGTTAAATCAGTCCAATTGGACTGAAATTGATCAATCAATTTCGGCGACAGGGACCGAAATTGGACTGATTTAACTAACTTTTGAGAGTTTTTGGACCAAATTTAGATCGACCTAATTTAGTGGACTAAAATGGGAAACAACCTAAGCTACTGGACTAAAATTGCAATTTTCTCATATATATACATACTCATCCGACGTGTGTTAATCCAACGGTGAAAAACTCGACGGCAGACACCAATATGGTAAAATTTACCACGTTAGACATGCAAGTTTTTAATATAAATTTCATAAATAAATAAATATAGCCAAATAATCTGCTATGATAAAATCTACCCCGTAAGACATGCAAGTTTTTTAATATAAATTTCATAAATCCTCCCTATATATAATTCCCGAATACGTTGAGCCTACGTGGTTGCTTTTGGTGTTTCGAAATCTACTTGGCGAAGAATCATGCTTCGTAATTAAGTTTGGACAAATAATATTGATATATTAATAATTAATAATCTAGGTTTAGATATTCCATAAATATTATTTTGCTAACTTATAGGTATTTTAATATCACTTGTACTAATATAACCCTTTAATTCCTTATAATTTTACATAGTGAGACACTAAGTGACTAATGTATCCCTAACTTTTGATTTGTTTATTCAATTCTCTATTGAATTGTAAATGTATTTTAAAAGTTGATAACTTTTGTATTTCTTATCGGTTTTACATATATAATATATT